GGGGGCTTCAGGGCTACCCCCTTTGCGCGATGTTTTTTTTTGCATTTTTTGAAAGGGGTTTAGTAAGGAAATTGGCTATTTGAGCCTTGTTGATTTTTTTTAAAATCTAGAACTTTTCAGGCAAGATTTGGAGTTTGGAGTTTACTGCTTCCAGCCCAAAGAGTCTTGAGGGTTTCAGAAAGGGTTTGAGAAAGGGTTTCCCACCAAAAACAGCGAGAGCGTATTTCAGAATACTTTTTTTAAGGGGGTGCAAACTGACACATTATTTAGATGTTAAGGGTGGAAAAATATTTCAGAATACTTTTTTAGGGGGTGCAAACTGACACATTATTTAGATGTCAAGGGTGGAAAAATATTTCAGGATACTTGTTTTAGGGAAGTGCAAGCATTCATTTTTTTTGGATGTTAGGGGTGGGAAAATATTTCAGAATATTTTGTTTAGGGGAGTGCAAACATTCATTATTATAATTGTTTTGCTGTAAAGGGTGGAAAAATATTTCAGAATACTTTATTTAGGGGGCCGCAAACTGACACATTATTTACGTGTTAAGGGTGGAAAAATATTTTGAACGTGAGCTTTCTTTCCACTTTAGTATTCCCAAATGAATTGCCTAGTTAAAAAGGAATACATACATAAAGGGAACTTTCTTTCCACTTTAGTATTCCCAAATGAACTGCCTAATTGAAAACGAATACATAAAGGGAACTTTCTTTCCACTTTAGTATGCCCAAATGAATTGCCTAATTGAAAACGAATACATAAAGGGAAAAACACGGGAACAAAAAAAACGGGAAAAAAACAGCGGAAAAAAAAACAAAAAAAAAAAACGGAAAAAAACACAGAGAAACCGGAAAAAATGGAAAAAACAGAAAAAACAACGGAAAAAAACGGGAAAAAAGTTGGCGTACTTTATTACGGGGGGGGTTATTCCCCTATTCCCCACATCTTGGTGTGGGGTTCTTGTTTTTGATTCTGCATCCCGTCCGTCCTCCCGTCCTCCCGTCGTCCCGCCGCCAGCACAGCTTACTCACACACACAACTTGCTCACACACAGCTTGCTCACACACAACTTGCTCACACACAACTTGCTCACACAGAACTTACACACACAACTTGCTCACATACAACTTGCTCACACACAACTTGCACACACAGCTTGCTCACACACAACTTGCTCACACACAACTTGCCCACACAGAACTTGCACACACACACACACCATTTATTCACACACAGTGGCAGGCGTGGCGCTTGGAGACATTCATCTTCGTTTCACGTGGCAGGCGTGGCACTTGGTGACATCCACCTTCGTTTCACGTGAAAGGCGTGGCACTTGGAGACATTCATCTTCGTTTCACGTGGCAGGCGTGGTACTTGGTGACGTCCACCTTCGTTTCACGTGGCAGGCGTGGTACTCGACTTACTCACACACAACTTGTTCACACACAACTTACTCACACGCAACTTACTCACGCACAACTTGCGCACATACAACTTACTCACGCAGGCGTCGCACTTGGCGATATGGATCGTCACTTTGCGTGGCAGGCGTGGCACGTATGGCACTGGGCTGGCTCTGGTGGCGCGCTCGGTTCCCACGTGCCCGAGTGGTCGCCGCGGCTTTTTGCGTGGCAGGCGTGGCACTTGGAGCCGCATTCATCTTCGTTTCACGTGGCAGGCAAGGTACTTGGTGACATCCACCTTCGTTTCACGTGGCAGGCGTGGTACTCGACTTACTCACTTTGCGTGGCAGGCGTGGCACGTATGGCACTGGGCTAGCTCTGGTGGCGCGCTCGGTTCCCACGTGCCCGAGTGGTCGCCGCGGCTTTTTGTGTGGCAGGCGTGGCACTTGGAGACATTCATCTTCGTTTCACGTGGCAGGCGTGGTACTTGGTGACGTCCACCTTCGTTTCACGTGGCAGGCGTGGTACTCGACTTACTCACACACAACTTGTTCACACACAACTTACTCACACGCAACTTACTCACGCACAACTTGCGCACATACAACTTACTCACGCAGGCGTGGCACTTGGCGAGATGGATCGTCACTTTTCGTGGCAGGTGTGGCACGTATGGCACTGGGCTGGCTCTGGTGGCGCGCTCGGTTCCCACGTGCCCGAGTGGTCGCCGCGGCTTTTTGCGTGGCAGGCGTGGCACTTGGAGACATTCATCTTCGTTTCACGTGGCAGGCGTGGCACTTGGTGACATCCACCTTCGTTTCACGTGGCAGGCGTGGTACTCGACTTATTCACTTTGCGTGGCAGGCGTGGCACGTATGACACTGGGCTAGCTCCGGTGGCGCGCTCGGTTCCCACGTGCCCGAGTGGTCGCCGCGGCTTTTTGCGTGGCAGGCGTGGCACTTGGAGACATGGCAGGCGTGGTACTTGATGACAACGTGGCAGGCGTGGCATTTGGTGACATCCACCTTCGTTTCACGTGGCAGGCGTGGTACTCGACTTATACTCACTTTGCGTGGCAGGCGTGGCACTATATGGCACTGGGCTAGCTCTGGTGGCGCGCTCGGTTCCCACATGCCTGAGTGGTCGCCGCGGCTTTTTGCGTGGCAGGCGTGGCACTTGGAGCCGCATTCATCTTCGTTTCACGTGGCAGGCGTGGTATTTGGTGACATCCACCTTCGTTTCACGTGGCAGGCGTGGTACTCGACTTACTCACTTTGCGTGGCAGGCGTGGCACGTATGGCACTGGGCTAGCTCTGGTGGCGCGCTCGGTTCCCACGTGCCCGAGTGGTGACGGACGCGTGAAGTACGAGTGGACGGATGTGTGTGTACAAGTGGACGGACGTGTGAGCGTAGGTACGTGCGTTGAAACGTTCACTCGTCACGTGCGTGCGCACGTACGAAAATAAGGTCGACTCGAGTCTACCTAATTTCTGTACGTCTCGGCTTTTCCTTACCTATTTATTTTTGGGTGAACGTGTCAACGCACGTACGTACGCTCACACGTCCGTCCACTCGTACACACACGTCCGTCCACTCGTACTTCACGCGTCCACTCGTACGCTTACACGTACGCTGGGTCGTACACCTTTTACGAGACTTCAAAACTATAGACAATAATTTCCTCTACAGAATCAGGAACGTTAAGTCCTGGAAAATGGTGCGTTTTAACCCCTTGCTTTGTTTAGGGGTACCTACCCAGTGTCAACGCTTTCAATTTTATAGAGGACCTTGGGGTCTCTGATTCTATAGAGATTTCATATTGAATACAGCACTGACTACTTAAGGACTGCGATTCTATAGTGGGATATGTTCTTTTTGGATGTATGTCATGTTCTTCAATTCTATAGAGAAGTATTGGCAGATACCAGAGCAGCGAGGACAAAAAAAAAGGAAGCGGATGGAAACAGATAGAAACAACATGAAACAGAGCAACTGTCAAGATCTTTCAAGCATTTTTCACAAGTCTATAAAATCGAAGAGGTTGACATCGAACACTTTGGAGCCTTTGAGCTCTATAAATTTGGAAATGCATAAGGTAAGCTAGGCAAGAGCAACTGGATCATTCAGGTCAGCTGTCAATGAATGATATTTGGGGAGTCTGATTTTATAGAAGGTCAACTAACCCCCCCCAACCTAAAAAATGCTCTACGAGAGCGACTTGGTGTTAGCAATTCTATAGAAAATGATGCTCATAAACGACGTTAAACGACCCTAGTGACAGCAATTCTATAGAGATTGTCAACTTGAAAATACCTTGGGGTCTCTGATTCTATAGATGCATTTTCAGAAAGAGGGTCAGCGTCTCCAGAATTATCACTATAAAATTGTCAACACCAACACTCTCACTTAATTCAAAGGGGGATCTTAATTAATTAATTAATTAACTAATTAATTAATTAACTAATTACCTAATTAATTAATGGTAATTAAATAATTGGCTAATTAATTAAATTTATAAGTCATTTAATCAATTAGTTAATTAGTTAATTACCATTTATTTATTTTTAATTAATTCATGAATTTGTTAATTAATTAGTGAATTAATTAACTAATGAACTAATTAAGTAATTAATGCATTAATTCATGAATTAATTTATCAATGAACTAATGCACTAACTAACGTTTTATTTCATGATTTAATCAATTAGTTAGTTAAGTAGTTAATTAATTATTCAATGAAATACTTAAATTAATGCATTTATATATATACATATATATATATATATTTGTTTATGCATATATATTTTTTTGCATCCAAAAATATATGACTTAATGAATATATATATTATATTCGAAGGGGTGTTAACCCTGTCTGTGCAAATCCTCGCTAAACTAGGCCTTTGCGAAAGGCCTGGTTAAACTAGGCCTTTAGGACTGAGGTTTTCTCTATGTGATTATTTCTGAGGTCGTATTTACGTGAGACTTAGCCGAGCAAGTTCCCACCCCCAAAGATATCCAAGGTCCAGGGCTTGAAAAAAAAAAAACGCAACTTCGAGGTTCACGAAAATAGTGACATCGTGATAAAAACCGTGAAAAAGGTCATGAAAAACCAGTGAACCCCGTGAAAAGGCCGTGAAAACCCGTCAAAATCAGGTTTGTGCAAAAATGCCAAGAAAATGTTTTGCGATTTTGTGACCAATTTTTCTCGTGAGTGCTCCCGCTCTATTGGTTGTTGCTGATCTTGCGGTGTGGAATTTTTGTTTTTTTCAAGGTATGATTTTTTTGAGGCCTTTAGTCATTTAGGTCCTGTACTCTAACGGCCGCGTTAAAATCGTCCTTTGGACTGACTGGGTAAAGTAACATTTTTCTCTCTTCCAAAACCATATTCGATCGAAAAAAAAATGCAACAACTTTTGCGAAGGTTTGCTTACGCAAGAGCTCGCAAAAGAGAGTTTCCGGAAACATGATTCATGGCAAATTTCCAACATTTTAGGTTGTTCAAATACCTTTTTACCCTCACAGCCATGGTGGCAACTCAATACACCCTGCCCTTTCAATCCTTGTTCTGTTTGGTTTCGTGTTTGGCCGAAACTCAGGAATTGAGCATTGCCTGCAAGGCCCTCAGGATGAGGTTCACGCTTGTTTGCAGGAAGTTGCAAGGGACCATGCATACGCCCGGTGTGCCTTGCCTGCAGTTGGGTGCCTTGACCACTTTAGGCTTGTGCCGTCAGCACATATTCTGTGGGGCCCTGGAAATCTGTAAAGCAGCGCCATGCAACACCAGATTCTTGAGGTTTAGTCCGAGGATATTTGGATGAGGATGCGCAGGGCGACCTGAAAGAGAATTCACCTACACAACCGGGTGAAGTAATTTTCTTATAGCCCATCATACAGCACAACACATGCACAGGTGTTTGATTATGTACAGACATTTTATCCTTTATAAGCGCCTTTCCCAACTTCTTCGGAATTGGTGATCTGGCAATGTTGCCGGTGTGGCGTACGTAGTGTTTGAAATTTCCCACCGAGGGACTTTCCGGAATCTGTGTCATCTGTCATGTTTTTTGTGCAGTATGAGAAATTGGAATGCGCTGCGAGACTAGCATTTGACCGCGTTGTCAGCAACATCGTTGGTTGCATCGTTATCACAGCAATTGTATAACTGACATTAATTGACAATTGACAATCTTCAGGTCTTAATCATAATCATATAGACTCCTGGATGAAGAGTCTGGAAGGTCCTTTCAAACCATGGGCTGACAAGCCGTTGGTAACTGCGTTTAAAATTGTCACTCTTCCGATCATGCCTGTCCCAATCCAAAGGTTAAAACTATCTTTGGAGTTGTGGTGATCTGGCAAGGTTTCCAGTTTGGCGTGCTTTTCAAAGTTTCAAAATTTTCCACCTGTTTACACAGTCCCTGCGCCCAACGATGTTTGGGGCTGGCAATGGGGTGTATACAAGTAAAGTAGAAGTTTTCCCCCAAAAAAAACATGATACCATTATGGTAATACCATTCGTAAGGCAACCATATAATTATATATGTATATTAATGCTTAGTTCATTGCTGATCACTGTGTAAGAGGTGGCGAGCTCCTGCGAGGGCCAGGATGCGTATTTCAGAGGGACTTTCCGGAATCTGTGTCACCCGTCATGGTTTTGTGAAGCATGAGGACCTGGGATGCCCGTGTGACTAGCAATATCGGCGCGCGCGCCAGCTTGGCAAAGAATTCTCATAGACCCACAACAATTTGGCAAATCGCATTTGCGATTTTGAAGCTTCTGGACATGCACTGCGTTTTCTCCCTAGCTGCCTGATGTTTGCCAAGGAGCATAACTCAGCATGACTCAGCATGTCTGACACGAGTCCTCAGAAATCATAAATCTTTGGTGAGGCGAACTGTGTGCCAAAGTAGCTTAGCGACCTGCGTGGTGTTTGGGCACCTAGTAGATCTCTCATGCTGTCGGTGCGTTCGTTTCCTGTGAAAGCGCGATTGGCCATTCAATTCAACAAGAAAGAACAAAGAAAAGAAAAGGAAAGAATCAAAACAAGACGAACACAAGATGAATCAAGATGAGCACAAGTTGAACTTGTTTCCCTGAGATCCGTTTCAATTGCTCTCAACGTCCTGAAATCATAGGTCGGTCTTGCCTATTTTTGTGCCGAGCGGCCTGGCTGCGGAGCTAACAAAGTTGAGACTTTGCTGGAGGCTGAGGCTATGCCAAGCCCACAGCTGCCATGAAAATGCGTCACCAGATATCACTGGACCCTTTTCCCGAATGCGTAGCAAGGGTTCCCGTTTCACTGGGGGTTTGGGGGTTGAGGCGTGCGCTCGACATCGCGCAACCGTTCGGAACCGTTCGGAACCGTTCGGAACCGTTCGGAACCGTTCGCAACCGCCCGGATCCGCCCGGATATAGGGCCGTATGGCCGTGCCTATGGCGAGTTCTGCAACAGTGGTCACTTTTGGAGGTTCCAGCCTCGTTTCGTGTGGCAGGCATGGCGCTTTGTGACATTCCAACATGTTTCATAACGTGTCGAAAGTCGTTTTGTGTGGCAGGGGCCTTACTTTTGTATACTTTTGTGTTGTTTTCAGCATTTTTCGTGGCAGGGGCAGCACTTTGGAGACCTCCGTCATTTCGCGTGGCAGGCGCAGCACTGCAGACGTGTCGTGTTGCGTGTTTTTGCGAATCGCATTGTCAGGGCTGCGTCAAATGGTGACAACGTGCAAATTCTGTGGCAGGCGTGGCATTTTGTGACCATGTACTGAAAATTGATGGAAGCCTCGCACGAAACATCGAATTTTAGGTATTATAGCTGCGTTCGTCGATTTTGTCGCTACAAAGTCTGAGGAAGTCTCGCAGAAAACGCTCGTTTTGAGCTTCCAACTTCATGCTCGGGCGTTCTTGTGACATCGCCGTGTCTATGGGGGAAGCTGAAAAGTCGAAAGTCGTTTTGCGTGGCAGGCGCAGCACTTTAGACACTTTAGGCGTGGCGTGTTGCGTGTTTTTTTGCATCTTTTGCGAATTGCATTGTCAGGGCTGCGTCAAGTGGTGACAACGTGCAGATCGTGTTGCAGGCGTGGGACATCGCGAGACATTTTGCATGGCAGGGGCAGTATTTGGTGCAGAGCCGTTGTGTGTGTGTGTGTGGAATGCTGTTTTGCGTGGCAGGTGCAGTTTTTCGGACACCCTACACTTGACACTTGACACTTTACACTCCAAACTCGACACTTTACAGCTCATGCTTTACACTTGACACTCCACGCTATACATTTTACACTTTACGTCTCGAAGGGGCAGTTTGGGTCGTGGAGGCTTGACTTGGTTGCAGTGCTGTCGTGCTACGGGTTTCTATTTTCATGACATTTGCAGAGATTCCCGGCCGTTCTCCGCTCCAACAGTTTTCGTGACAGAATAGACAAAGATGTCGCAAGCGTGGAGTTGCAATGTTTCAAGCATGAGGTGTGCACAGATGTTGCTGTTCACTAGATGTTTCAGGGTTGCTGTCGTGTTGCCGGTTTATATGTTTCACCAAATTGCAAAGATGTCGGCTGTGCTCAGCTTCAAGAGTTCGCACTCGAGTGACACTGTTTCATGCGTAGAGTTAATGCAATTCAGTGATGTCATGTCCCATAAGGTTGCCGTTGCTGTTGTCTATTTCCCCAAATTTGGAAAGATGTCGGCTGGGCTCAGCTCCAAAAGATGTCGCACGCACTCGAGTCAGAGTGTTTCAAGATGTTTCAAGCATGTCGTGCGTAGAGCTGTTGCTGGATGTTGCTGGTGATGTTTTACCGTTTGTTTTTGTCACCAAATTTGGAAAGTTGACTTCGGCTGTGTTGAGGCCACCCAGTTGATGACAGAACATACGCAGAACTCGCGCCCACTCGAGTCATAATGTTTGAAGCTATATAGGTGTGTAGAGATGTGCCTGCCTGTAGACATGTGAGTGCAGGAAGTGTGTGTTGTTTTGCCGACTTGCTATCTTAAAAAACGTCGCAGGGGTTACCGTTTCTGGGGGTCTGGGGGTTGAGGATGTGTTCGCTCGACGTTGCGTTTGCGTCCGCAACCGTCCGCAACCGTCCGCGTGAGGGCCATGGCCGTGCCATGGCAAGTTCTGCAAAAGCGGTCTTTTTTGGAGGTTTGAAACGTCGCGTAGCCTTGTTTCGCGTGGCAGGCGTGGCACTTTGTGACATTCCAAAATATGGCAGGCGCAGCACTTTAGACAAGTCGTGTTGCGGGTTTTTGGTGGATCGCATTGTCAGGGCTGCGTCAAGTGGTCACAATGTGCAAATTCCATGGCAGGGGTTGCATTTTGTGAGATGTGATGAAAATTGACGGGCACGAAACATCGATTTTGAGGTGGCAAATTTTGAGGTTCATGAGAAAACTTGAAGGAAAACGTCAATTTTGTCGCTACAAAGTCTGAAAATTTGAGGAAGTCTCGCACGGAATGCTCGTTTTAAGGCTCCAGCATGTTTCGTCACGATTATTAAGGTTTTCTTGTGGCGTCGCCGTGTCTATGTGGGAAGCTGCAAAACGTCTCATTTTCGAAGGTTTCGTTTTGTGTGGCAGGCGTGGCACTTCGTGACATTCTCACGTCTCTGAAAAAGCGTCGAAAGTCGTTTAGTGTAACAGGCGAAATATAATTTTGCAAGGTTGATTGATGACTCGCGTTTTGCGTGGCAGGCGCAGCTTTAGACTTTAGACGAGTCATGTTGCATTGTGAGGGCTGTCTGAAGTGGTGACAACGCTGAAACTGCGTGGTGTGGGACACCGTGAGAGTGTCATTTTGTGCGGCAGGGGCAGTATTTGGTGCAGGTCTGTTGAGTGTGGAACGTCATTTCCCGTGGCAGGCCCAGTATTTGGGACACTCGACACCGTACACTTTACACTTTACACTCCACACTCTAGACGCTCCGCACTTTACAGTTACACGTTCCACTCCAAACTTTACACTCTATATACACTCCACACTTTACTTGACACTTTACACTCCACCCTCTACACTGTACACTCTACACTCCACACTCCACACTTTAAACACTCTACACTTTACACTCCACACTTTACACTCCACACTCTACACTTTACACTTGAGACTCCACACTCCACACTTTACACTCCGCAGTCTACATTCTACACTCCACACTCAACACTCTACACTCTACACTTTACACTCTGCACTTTACACTCTACACTCTACACTTTACACTCTGCACTCTAAACTCTACACTCTACACTCCACACTCCAGACTCTACACTCCACACTTGACACTTTACACTTACACTCCACACTCCACACTTTACACTCCACTCTTGACACTCTACAGTACACTACACTCTACACTCACACTTTACACTCCATACTTCAGGCTTTACACTCCACACTCTACACTTTTCACTCCTCACTCCACACTTTACATTTTACATTCCATTTCTACACTCCACACTTCACACTTTACACTCCATACTTCACACATCTTTACACTTTTCGCCCCATACTTTACACTCCACACGTTACCCTTTATACTTCGCTCTCTACACTTTCCACTTTCCACTTCACACTTTATATACACTCCACACTCTACTCTGCACACTTTACACCCCGCACTTTGCACTTTACAGTCTAAAATTCCCACTTCACACTCTACACACTACATTCCCCACTCCACACTCCACTTTCTTTACACTCCATGCTTTGCGCTCCACCCCATTCCACATTCCACAGTCTACAATGCACTTGTACAGTAAGAGGGGGAAAATGTACAAGACTGTTCAAATAAGTTGTTTCACAAAAGTGTCAAAAGTGTGCTACGTGATTGCATTCGGGTTCGTGAGCTGCATCTTATTTAAAAAAATATTTATGAATGCCTGTAGCTATTTGGACCATCTTAGATGGATCATGTTGGACCTTCTTGGAACCCACGAAACCACAAACTTTGTACATCCCTGTGCCATATTTTCAGAGGCTGGCAACACACTGCATGCCCAGAGCTGAGTTCCAAATTGTGGCCTTAGCGGGCGCCGTAATTACCACACGCCGACTTAGATGGGTTT